GATATGTCTTAAAATGAATCTCTTGGTCATCTTTGTTTATTATTTTTTGACCTACACAACACAAACATAGAAAATATTTAAATTTCATCTAACAACTTGTCTTCTTATGTAGCAATTTTACAATTAAAAAATTTTTACAAATTACTTTACAGATTATTAACTTTATAAGTAAAATAGGGTATATAGTATGGTATATAATATTATAGGTTTCATACTGCTAAACATTTGGTAATTATTAAACATATCTACTTGATTCAAGTAGAAATACAAACACAACCTAGTTTCAACGAAGGCATACAACTTTAAACTAAAAATACTCCAATATATTTTCAAATTTAATTCTACAAGAAAAGAATACAAACACTTGGTTGATTTAAATATACACTAATTTATATAATTTTTATTTAAATAAATTTTATTTAAATTAATTCGCCTAATCGAAGGTCACGCCATTATTTGCGTAAACATACTCTTATAAATATTGCCGTGCTGTACGTTTAAAAAAAGTTTTTTTATCGCGTTAAAAAAACGTTTTAAAAACGTTTATAAGCTAACTGAGAAATATCGTAAGTTAATAAAAAAATTAAAACGTTTAAAAAACGCTAAAAAAAACGTTTAAATTAACATTAAAAAAAACGTTTGAAAAAAAACGTTTTAAAAACGATTGTATTGGTTCTTTTAACGTCCGACCGTAAATTGAACGGAATTAAAACGCTTTAAAAACGTCCTGTGCTTACTGGGTAATGTACCTCAAAAGTACACTAGTTTACCCTGCAGGTAAATGTTTTTGTATTCAATGTTACTAATAGTTTTAGAATTTCATTTTCACAGGTAAAATTTTGAATAATACGCAGTAAAAAAATATTTTTTAATTTTTTTTAGCTGCAAGAGGAACAACTGTCTTGAGAAAATTAACGAAGAGGATCAAATGGATATATTAAACCATTTCCTTACCTTACTCTAAAGATGAGCAAGATTTGTTACTACAATCCTTGATTGATTCTTAAGAAATAAAACAGAGACGAAAAAGGGAAGAAAAAGGGTTTAAAAAAAAAGTTCTAATCGAATGAAGGTAAGTTTTAAAACTTTCGTAAGTTTACGTGCTGTTACAAAAAACAAAAACTAATTCAATGATTGCGAGCCTTAAAATTGATTTGAAAAAAATCTAGATGATAAAAGAGGACGTCACATAAAAGAAGCATTGTCTAAAGAAACCAAACCTTTTATTAAACAGCACATTGAAAGCTTTCCAATTAAGGTGGCTTTACTCAAACGTAAGGTTAAAACTTGTTTTCACTTAACTTTTTGAGAATAAGTAAAAAATAAAAATTTGCGTAAACTTTTTAACAATATAATTTTGCTAAGTTTTATAAATAATAATTTTTTTAAATTTTTTCATCCACTTGTTAATTTCCAAGAATCGACTGTTTGAACACTTGACGTCATTCACCTTCTTTTAAATCAGGTATGGGCTTTAGATTATTGCCAACAGCATTTTAAAGTTCTTTTTTGCTGGAGGAATCAGGTAAACTTTTTTGAAGATTATTTTAAACGTTTTTTAAGTAATTAAATATTTATTAATTAATATTATTTATGCATATTACATAAAATAAACTATTTATTCTATACCATACTTATATATACTATATTCTCGACAACTCCCTTGAAATATTGTGTAAAAATTAACTCAAAAAATAAAGAATTACATACATAATAGAAGTTTTTATGACCAATACATATATATTACACAATGTAACAAAAAAAAAAAATTTTCTGTTTATCAAAATTTTTTGATGCTTCTTAATTAATTTGAGTATGCTGAGTCTGAATATGACATTGGATTTTTTATTGCATCAATCGTTTGGTCGGAAAAACAAAAAATCAATTAAACATATAATTAATATAAATCGTTTTGCATTAGATTCTACTTTAGTCAATATAAAAGATTTACTAATTCAAAAGTGTTATGTTATGTTACAAAACTTCATGTTACATCATGTTTCTTACATATATTACATAATGTTACATTATATTGTATTGTAACAGTCTCTCACAATCTCAAAAAACACTAAAAGTGAACAGTAGAACGAGGTTTTCTTTTATGAAGTTTCTCGTCATCGCGTATCAAACACCAGATGTAGTCACCCATCATAGCTGCATCCCATCTGCCCTGGTATCTTTTCTCCATTGCAAGAATATCCTGATGGAAACGTTCCCCGTGCTCTTCACTCACATCACCCAAATTTGGTCTGAAAAATTCCAAGTGTGAATGCAGGTAATGCAGCTTTATTGACATTCTGCATTTCATATCTGCGTACCGTACAATTAAGTTTTCCACTATCTCTTTGTAGTTATCACTCTTATTGTTGCCTAAAAAGCTATGAACAACATGTCTAAATGCAGTCCATGCTTCTTTTTCAACAGCAGACATTTTGTCCTCAAGCTCCTTACATGCCAACATAACTTTAATCTGTGGACCAACGAATATACCTGCTGAAATTTTTGCATCTGACACCTTTGGAAACATCTGCCGAATATGCTGGAATGCTGCACTATCTGGGTTTAATGCTTTGACAAATTGTTTGATAAGACCAAGTTTAATGTGAAGGGGTGGTAGTAAGATCTTTTCAACAGGTATCAGAGATTGATTAATAACATTGTGCGAACCAGGCTGTAAATGTTCTCTCACTGGCCACTCACGTCTTGTGAAGTGCTGGTTTGCAGCCCTGCTATCCCATAAACAAAGAAAACACGAGTACTTTGTGTATCCTCCTTGCAGACCGAGAAGAAATGCTAGCATCTTAAAGTCTCCACATACATCCCACTTGTAACTGCCGTAGTTGATTTTCTCAAGCAACAACTTCACGTTCTTATAGTCTTCCTTTAGATGAACGGAATGAGCTACTGGAATCGAAGGAAATCGGTTTCCGTTATGGAGCAAAACTGCCTTTAGACTTCTTGTTGAGCTGTCAATGAATAATCTCCACTCTTCAGGATTGTGAACAATGCCAATGTCATTGAAAAGACCACGAACGTCATGACAATAGCACAGTGATTCTGATACTACATAAAAGTATGCGAATGTTTCATGTCTTTTTCGGTATTTCGAGGTTCTGCAGCTTGGATCTAATAAATTCCATTCTTTCAAACGTGATGTCAGAAGTTCTGCATTTGATTTAGTGAGACCTAAATCTCGTACTAAGTCATCAAGTTCTTGTTGGTTAGGGAAATGAGGTGAATCATTCGGTTCCCTGAAATCACAGTCATCATTGAGTTCATCCGGTGAGTCTACTTCAGAATGATATGCAGCTGCTTCTTCGGATTGAGGTGGAGTAGGAATAGGCAATTCATCACTGTGTGGAACTGGTCCAATAGAAGATGGTATACTTGGATAAACTAGAGTCAGCCTATCTTTCGGTTTTTTATACTTTGAAATGTCAACAATGCAGAAAAAGCAGTCATCATGATGGTTCGTCGGTTCTCTCCATATTCTCGGAATCGCAAAGGGCATTGACTTTCGGATTCCACGCAGCCATCCTTCCAGAGTTGATCTGCAGCTACCACAACTGTAGTGTGGTGCCCACGATTTGTCCTGATCTCCCATAGCCATGCCAAAATAAGCATGATATGCAGTAAAGAATTTTGTACCACTGACAATCTTATGTTTAGCTTGTGTTGGACTAATATAGTAACCACAAACATAACAGAATGAGTCAGGACAAAGCTTGCAGGACCTACTAGACATATTCACTACTTCATGTAACAGTTGTAATTAGTTAAACTGAAAATAAACACACGAATATAGTTAAAATCAGCATATATATATAATGTTTTAATTGCATTACACATATACGAAAACTCCGAAATATACTTTATGCTTTTTCTCAGGAAATCTTGATGATAGAGAAAAACCAATGGTACCACTGAAATCAGCATACAAAAATTATGTAAGAAACATTAAAAAATTAACATAAACAAAAATGTTGTTACATGGTGTTATATATGTTTATATCTTATACTGCTGAGTTAGTTGAGCATGATGACATCATACTGAAATAGCCTGCTGCCGGGGGCTTCAGTACATACATCTACTGACAAATAGCCTGACTCGCAGTGGAGTGCTGCTACATCGACTGAGGGTTTAGTATGGCTCAGCAACCTTTTCATTCATTATTCTTTACTTTCCCTTTTCGTTTTCTCAAAGATCCCACTGAATTTAGACTAACAAAAAAAGTGAGCAATTGCGCATATAAATATGCTATAGTAGATATATGTATAAATAAATTTTTAATAAATAAAACAAAAGTTTATAGAAAAGTAAATTAGGAGAATAGTCACATTTTAACTTTTTTGAAGATTTTTTAAAGACTTTTAAGGATGTTTTTTTTCCCAAGGATTTTTAAGGTTTTTAAGGAGGATTAAGAACCCTGAATATATACGACAATAATCAAATGACTACATATTGAAACTTCATCAGTAAACATTGTTGTAGTGGATTTTCAGTGGACCTATAAAGTTGTCATTCTGAGCAGTTAAATGGAGTTTAACTCATCATTTACTTAGTAAATAACTAAAGTGGCCAGCCAATAACATTCCAACAATTGATATAGTGGTTACTCCTGTTTTCCACTTTTGGCTGCTGCCACTAATGGTCCATTAAGTATATGATGACCAAAACTGCAACCACCTACAACGCCTACATAGGCCCACTGAAATTCTCCTTTAAATGTTTTGCTGTGTTATATATTTTTTTACTAAATGTTAAAACTAAAAACCGTACATAATCAAAAATTCATTCATATAGAAAAAAATATAAACTCTTTTCCATCTTTAAATACATTTTTCTCATTCTAATTTGAAGTTGGATAATTTACTAAAAAATAAATTTTATCAAATAATAAATATAAATATTGATTTTAATTATAATTATTTAATTGGAATTTTTAAAGAAAAAAATAGGTATTTAGTTAGTGAATGAGGCTTGGTTTCACTACAATAAA